GATGCATTCGGGACTGTGGGACAGGACGAAAGCGCATTCAAACTTGCAGCACGTATTCAATTTTTCTCTCGGAAATATCGGTGACACGACGGCAGTATCGTGACGGGATATTGTCTCTCGAGTTAAATGCCGCCTCTCGTCGAAACTCTTGTGCAAACTCACATTCGGCGGAATTCTCACACGACAATCGCGACGCTCAAGTTACGCGTGTCATCTGGATTTACGACGCTTTGCTGAAAGCTTTGGCAGAGGGATAGGAGTGAACAATTGAAATGTTCTTTCGCCAAATCGCACTGTAAAATGATGTAGATCTTAATTACATCTGTAATCTTAAATAAAAACATAAGGTTGGAAAAGGGTGGAAAATAGGGTTGAACATTTATTTTAATTCACGGCGTCTATCCCTTTCTTTGTCAATCGAGTAATATAAATTTCAATCAAATTTCATCAAATTTCTCTGCTATTATACATCTTTAAATTTTTATTCCATTATATATTATGTATTATATATTATATATTAATATATAACGGCAACAAGTTGTTTTCTTAATTGAGAAAAGAATATTGTTAATAACCTCGTTATAAAAAAATTATTACTTTTAACATTATTATTTTTACCATTATATTACTCTTTTATGTTATATACATATGTCAGCGCGAGAAAAATTATTTTTGCGTATTAAACACTTCAAAAGGGGTCATATCATTGCCATATCATTGATATTCCTAAGGAATATTGAAAAAAAACAATTTTTAAAATTAAGAATAAATTGTAATTTTTTTCTTATTTTGCATCTAAATGTTTCGAAGTATATATTTATTTTAAATTTTCAATTAGAAAAAAGATATCTAAAGGGAGATATCTAAAAATGTTGTTTTGACTCGGAAAAATTAAAAATTTAATAATTCATTCGTGTTTGAATAAATCAAAATATATCTCTGTGTTGATTATATCTCAGAAATTATAATTAAAATTTAATCGATGTTACCATCTCGCGTGTTCCTCCTGGCATCAAATCCATTGGAATTTGCATTTCTTGGAAATGTGTGTGTGTGTGTGTGTGTGTGTGTGTGTGTGTGTGTGTGTGTGTGTGTGTGTGTGTGTGTGTGTGTGTAATACAATTTCTATTATTGTGTTTTAAATATGAATATTTAATTAATTTTTAATTAATTTATTTTAATTTGTTACGTTCGTAGGCACTGCTGACAAATCCGAAGTCCAAATCAAAAAACCAGAAGATGATCCATTACGAATTTATCCAAGTAAGTAAATCAAAAGTTATTACCCATATTTATTTTTCATAAAAAAGAGAAAAAATAAAAAAGAACAGGAAATAGAAGAGAATCTGGGAAAAGATTGCAAAATATATATTTAATATTTATTCAATGAAAGAAATCTATGAAAAGAATAATATTTTTTTGACTTTTTTAAACATATGATAGCGGATCAGACAATCTGTTCAAAATACAAGAAAGATCAAGACAAACTTATAACTCCGTTATTCATATGCTAATATATATATTCTTGCTTTTGTGCGATGCACGTGAAAAAAAAAAAAACACGTATACATAAATACATAAAAGTTTCACTCGTGTTTTCAATCATCGCAAGCAGTTCATCTTTGACATTTGTCGACGAATGGTTCTTTTGATTCTTTTGACGGACTCCTCGAAATCTCGAATTATCTGAATTTATCAATTAGTTTAGTGCATTACACAATCTCTTTCAATTAATACATTAATAGAATCGAAAATTAATCTTGAATAAATATTCTGTGAGAAGTTTTCTTTTAAATAAAATCGAAAGGAACTAAAGTATATTTTTAGAAAGCAATGAAAAACTTCTTCTTATAGGAAGGATTTTAAACATATTGGAAAGATTATTTTAGAATTGAATTAAGTACCGATATGTTCTTCCGCATCCTTTTAGAAATAATCGCATAGCAATTATATAATTAATACACAGAAATTAATATCCCAACAAAGGCTTTGCACAAAGAACTTGGAACCTTTAATGCGTGGTCTTTTCATCTCTCGCCGGATTAAAACGATGTATTAATCGTTAGTACTTACTTCACAAGATCAACGTCATGTTTGAAGCTTAAACAAAGTTAAGTTCAAGTGCATACGAGAGGCGAAAGTAAATTACGGTTAAATTATTATGGGGTGCGAAAACGCCAATAATCTCGAGGGAGAGGACACGACGATCGAGCACAATCGCTGCATGGCGCACCGTACAATGCGATGGCTTCATCGGCGTATAGTCGATCCCTACACAATACTGGTACGAATGAGGATGTGCCACGGTCCAGAACACGCTATCATGCTTCTCCTTATCGAGAGCATTCTGTTGTGTTTTTTTTTCGCGATATATGATTACGCCCCGGAGGTGAACGCCGGTATACGACAGAATAACGTCGCGCCTCATTTGAATGGAGAATCGAACCCTCTATCGGTCACGTATACACGTAAGTTCTATATTGGTGCCGCCATTTCCTGCCGTTTCCCCCC